ATGTGCTTTTCGAAAACGAGATTTAGATCACCTCTTCAACCCTCTAGACTCTCCAAAAGGTCTGAAGAAGTTCTCTAGGTCGGCCCTCTAGTGTTAGGGTTCTATTTCTCCTATTATTCAACTTGTCTGGACACTTGGTCCGTTCGAACCAGTCACATAACTTGGTCCGGTCGGTCCGATGGTTCAGTCCGTTCGTTCTCAACACTTGGTCCGTTCGGACTGAACTCTCTAGTCCGTTCGGTCCAACAAATTGGTCCGTTCGGACTAGATGCTCCGGTCCGTTCGGTCCACTTCCTAGACCGGACGGTCCGGACCTCTATCCAGATTTCTCGACGTTTTCTCGTGCGTTTGTCCTTCCCTGCGTGTGTGACCCTGTAGGCTCATTCGATACAGCAGTATAACCCGAAATCTCTATTTCGGATATACAAGTCATAGGCGGTCTCCAGCAAGACACTATGACTACCTATCTCGAATAGAGTTTGTTCGTGATCTTACGAGCGCCAGTGATGATTCCGGTTGATGATCCTTTTGTATCACGATATCATATGTCGAATATAAGGCATGGACAAGCCACCTTATCTGATTCGACTGCTTTCTCGTTAACTGAGTTCGACTGTCTGAAATAGACGACGTTCGTCTATAGTGCGGCCACACATTTCTACAGTCTAAAAAAAACATTGTACCATGTAACACATTGATCATGAAGAAAGGCGGATTTCGTCTTTACAAGACCGAAATAAAATAAAACCAGAGTTGATATTGCGGGTCCCACATAAAACCGGGAACGTTGCACGTATCCAAAACTTCAATAAATATCTGCCGTGTTTCCATATTATTATGTTGGATAATTCATGTTAATGTGGCGGAACCCTAAATAAAGTTCCAATGACCGAGAACTATATATTATTGTGATAAGAGATGATACATATTTATAACACGTGTGATGGGTGTACATAAATATTTTGGGCTATCCATAATAATTATAATTTTTAATAGAGAAACTATTAAATCATTTTTTTTTTTTGGTATGAATGTGATTCTAATATTATCAAAAATAGTGTTTACAAAATCAGTCCTTGACTGCAATCAAAACGACAGTCCCCGACCGTAGAACCCATGATAACAAAACATCAAAACATCAATAGCTAATTACAGAAGCATTGCGTTAATCATTCTGACTACATTAAGACCCACAAAGGAAATACCAATCCTGTAATAGAATGTTACTGATGCCATATCACCCCTTTTGAGTGGAGAGAATGTTGTCGCGAATCAGGTGCTCGATGTGGATCCGCAACTCATGCAGCGTCCTTCTCCTGCCTTCAAAGATTCTAAGATTTCGTTCACGCCAAACCTCATAGACTATCACCTGGGCTATTAGGCGAGCAATTTGGTAGCGGTTGTGGGACATATCACTTTGGCTGATCATCCACGGCGAGCAAACAAGCAGGTCCTCCAGAGGAAGGGGCCAACATCTTGCCGCGTAGTGCTTCCAGAGTGCCGAGGAGAATGGGCAAGCAAAGAAGAGATGGGGATGACTCTCCTGGTCGGCATTACAAAGAACACATGCGCTGTCCACTTGCAATCCCCATCCCCGCAAGCGGTCTTTAGTTGGAAGTCGGTGTGTAATAGCCTGCCATTGTACAATAGAGTATCTAGGTATAGCCAGCTTAAACCAAATAAGATCATACCATAGAACCTTCTGCTTCGGAGTTCTCAGCTGCTTCCATGTGGTTGAGGAGGAGAAGGAAGCTTTGAACTGCCCTCTATGGTCTCTCCACAGATTCAAGTCCTCACCTTTCTCCGGGTGAGGAGGGTCGGTGGTGATGAGTGTCGCTTGTATAGTTTCCAGGCCTGCTCCACGAGCTGGCGAGAGGTTCCAATGGTTTCCAGATGTCGCATCAATGACCTTGGCCGATTTAGGAATATGAGCAAGACTCGGTCCACTTCCTCCAGATACCGCTATCAATGGCCCGAGGGACAACCAATGATCATACCAGAACCATGTGTCGCTTCCATTGCCCACCTGCTTCCGATGGAATCCTCTTGCTAACACCTGCAAGTGGATGAGTTTGTTGAAGTTCCAGGATTGGTTGGCGGAAGGCTTGCATTCCCAGAAACATCCATTTTTCAGTAAGTGTTTAACACTCCAAGCATACCAAAGAGACCCTGATTTACATAGTAAGGTTCATATCAGCTTCAGCCTAAAGGTTCTGTTCTGTTCTTCAAGCTTACGGATACCCAAACCCCCTTCCGTTCGAGGCAAGCATACAGTGGACCAAGCTATGCGGTGCCCTATTGATTTATCCGGAGTATTGGACCAGAGAAAGGATGCACACATTGAATCAATGGCCTTGAGAAGAAACTTAGGGAGCACAAACATTGAACTCCAAGAATTAACCATCCGTAGATAACCGTTGAGATTAACTGAACCCTGCCATCATTCCCATAATGACACAAGACTAGGGAGTTTAGTATCATTCATAATGATACATGGATTTCATAACACATCTAGTATACAAGAACATGTAATGAATCAAATACTCTCATAAAACCATAGAAAGTATCAATACATCAAATGTATCTAAATAAAGCTCATAAACAGTATATCATAGAGCATTAAACCAACAATCTCCCACTTGCTCTAATCATGAACTGCTAAACATCTAATGCCCATATCCCTAACATGACCCTCATGCTTCGACGAAGGGAGAGGCTTCGTCAACGGATCGGCAATGTTGTCATCTGTCGACACTCTGCAAATGTGCACGTCTCCTCTGTCTATGATCTCCCTGATAAGGTGAAATCGTCTAAGTATGTGTTTGGATCGTTGATGGGATCTGGGTTCTTTCGCGTGTGCGATCGCTCCATTGTTGTCACAATACAGAGCAATGGGGCTATCAGCA